TGTGTGTGTGTGTGTGTGTGTGTGTGTGTGTGTGTGTGTGTGTGTGTGTATGCACAAGTGTACATGAGCAGTGTACAGCTTGTGATGTGTCGGAATTGTTGTGTTTTACAAATCCTTTGTCTTGATGAGGGTAACCAAAGGCTTGTCGTCAGGACTGTAGTCTTCGTAGGCGATGGGAGTGGCATCGTACATGGCAGGCCTGGACTTCTTGCCAAATCTGATAAGAAAGCATAAACACAACGACTGCATCAATATTGCGTCCTCGAATAAAGTTTGTCAATGTAGCCCATATACTTTGTTGGTACTGACTGAGTGATACGGTGACAGATACAGAGTACAATAACTTATTAAAAGGTCACTTTAGTGTTTTAGTGTTGCACTTCTATAAAGTTAGGGGGACTCATAACAGACAGTAAATTAAACGTCAAAATGTAAGTATTGTAATATCCTATCTTTTAGGTTAAAACCACTGGATCCGTCAGTATCATTTTGTTAGACCCTCCCTGCCTTTTAAATGTCCCTGTGCTTCAAACTCAACGCCCACAGATTGTAAATCAGGCTGTCTGCTAGAGATTTTAACTTTCCCCGCCCAAGCTGAGATAATCACAGCTGACAACATCATCATGTTCTCCAACGTTATAAAAGAAGAAAGCTTCTCCAGAGCAACAAAACTGTTTTCAGAGGGGAGTAAGATACTCCCCCATGTCTCGCAAACTGACTTGAGCTTCCAGTTTATTCTTGACCTTGGAAACAGCAATTGACTTACTTGCTTTTATTGGGAGTCACGAGGTCCACAAGCTCCAGGAAAACACAGTAAGGGGACCATGAGGTGAGATTGTGAACTGACCTTTATCTGTGAACTTGGTGCTTTTACTTACTTTTGCATTCTTTAAAGGGAAACCCCACCAACACATACGTACATACACACATACAGCTCTGACATTAATTAACACTCTTCCTGTGAGACTTAGTCAATCCGTCAATATATTCAGATCCCGTCACTGACCTGGCGTGGCGGATGGAAGCGATGGCGTTGCTGAACTCGCTGTCGATGCTGCGGCAGTTGTAGAACTCCTGGTAGGCGTGGCGCGACGAGCCCTGGTACTCGATGCGGCTGATGCGGCAGATGCCCACGATGAGGATGATGAGCATGAGGACGAAGGCCACACACAGCGCTCCGATGATGATGTAGAGGGAGTGACGGGGCATATTGGTCAGGGTGTCCTCAGTGTGTGCTGGTTTCCACTGCAGGTCTGAGACAGACACACGCACACAGTCGTGTTTTCATCACTTTAGAGGACGTTACATTGACTTACATTTATTTCTTGGAGACTTACCCTAACGCTTACCATAACTGCTACTTGCCCAATCCTAACCCTTACACCAACTTTAACCTAAACCTGACTTTACTCTAACCTTAAACTAAGTCTTTCCCCTATAATGTAATGATTTACGTTAAGGGGACGTGCCTCTTGTCCCGAAAAGGAAGGCGAGTCCCCACATTGTGACTATGTAAACAGATTTATGTCCCCACAACATGAGTCATGCACACACACACACACACACGCGGACTTACGGATCTCACAGCTGGGCCCCACCCACCCAGGTGGACAGTGACAGGTGAAGCCATTTGATTGGTCAATGCAGGTGCCTCCATGGTGACAAGGGTTGCTCTCACAGTCATTGACGTCGACCTCACACGTCTCCCCTGAGTGGACATGTAAGGTTGTGTTCAATGACAACTAGAGCAACACAGGCAAGAGCAGGAACCGAGGCTCACAGTGTTCTGACTACTGATGCAGTTGTATACAAATCCAGGTTTTACACATCCAAGAATTATGTGTCACAATCATTTTATAACCCTACCATGTGAATCATACTAATAAGGTAGTCGGTCTTATAATGGCACCAGCGCTCACCCAGGTATCCAGGTGGGCAGGCGCAGGAAACATTGAGTCCTGCACTCTCACAGTGGCCTCCATTTTGGCAGTGCATCTTCAGACAGGGATCCTTGTAGATTTCACAGTGTCTGCCTGCACACACACACACATAACATGTCCTATGAAAACCATAACACACAATAGTCTTTGTAGAAGTAGAGCAAACTCACAGATGTGTGCCTGCATCTAGAAATAACCTAACTCTGTCATATATACATACCGTCAAACTGTGGCGTGCAGACACACTCATAGGCATTGATGAGATCCCTGCAGGTGGCGTAGTTCTGGCAGGGGGCAGACAGACACTCATTGTACTCCTCTTCGCAGTACAAGCCATGGTAACCTTAATGGGACACACAACAGTATGTAATAATGTAAGAGTCATTTAATAATTAATCATGTTATTTCGCTGATGCAACCAGAAGATGTTGTAACCTTGAGGGTTTTGCTGAAAATTGCATGCTGAATTTAACTGTGATCAGCAGTTAGTGTAAGTCATTAACTTTTACTGATCTTACTTCTCAAGTGTTGCGGTGTAGCATTTGATGGTGCTATGGGACTTGCATGTCTGTAAAAACAACCTTAGACTCATCGTGAACATTAAGATCAGTCATCACTTTCTCTTTCCCTGTAATATTGCAGAGAGCAGTTTCATCATGGAGCTCCACATTCATTTTAGATTGTTTCTCTTCACTACTGGTCCACAGGAAGAATGTACAAGACACAGCTAACAGTGTAGCAACACATTTTTGGATTTGCTTGGATTGAATTAGTTAGAAAAGTGTGAATACATTGTAAGCCTAGTATTTTGCCTCGTTTCAATGGCATTGGGCATCAGGTCAAATGACATGCAGTGCACTGTGTTTTCCATAGGATGGCAGCTGTGTACTGAGGCAGGGTAGGCCGGCAACATCTGAAAAACACTGTCAGTGAATGAGTAACAGAATCAGTGAATCTGTTTGTCAGATAATATTAAGAAGCTAAAAAGAAAAATACAAAGTGTAATGTACAGCTTGTGTCTGCACGCTGCTTAAACAGTTTGTGGGCTAGTCATGAGGATACAGCTATTAGAAACACAGGAACAACTCAAGGACAGAGTGAATGTCAGTATATGTTTTATAAGTCAGTTCCTATGTATTTAAATCTGCAGTATTTAGGCTGACCAATAGTTGTAATGTATGTAAATGCACTGATAATTGGATGTACCTTCATATACCTGATCACACTCACATCTGCTCTTCGTAGAAACGCTCCACCATCTACGACTTGAGAACCAAAATCACCAGAGGACCAAAGTCTCTCGAGTCCTTACACGACTATGTGCAGCAATCTGTTTTCATTAGCGCTGCTCCCACTTTGACTACATTTCTTAACCGGATCCCAGCGCTGACAAAGTTTCAACCAAACCTCCCTGGGCCTTAGCTAACATGTGTTTGGGGAAGGAGAGAGGGGGAATTAATGAGGAGCCCGGTTAGAGCCTCTCGGGTCTCGTCTGTGAAATGCCAGTGAAATGTCAAGTGCCTTTCCAAGACTGCCTGCTTTCTGTGGGCTGGCTGGTGGGCTGGCAGCCTCTAAAGTGAGCTGGATTACAGGAAGCTGAAGGATGGATCCTTCCATGTATCAGCTCCCCGGCAGCCTTCTTTTAGACAGCCATCAGGCATTTACACAACACATACACACACACACACACACATTAGCACACTTATCCATGGCAGATAAGCACACGTATTACTGTATCTATGAGCACACACACACACACACACACAGACAAACACTCATACCTCAGACACCAGCTGGCATTCTGATGAGCTGGAGAAAAGGTCAATTTTGGTCCAAAACACTGTGTGTGTGTGTGTGTGTGTGTGTGTGTGTGTGTGTGTGTGTGTGT